TTCACTTTTTTGGATATCATTAAACTCAAAGGCGTTTCCTATAAGATGATATATATATTTCCTTTAAAATGAGATTTGACTCTCTTGAATTGGAAAAATTCTACCAGTCACTTGCTTCCCTGATGAATAAATAAATATAAGTACACGATCTTGTAAATGATAATATACAAAGAAAATTGAGGCTATTCGATTGGGGGATCTTACCCTCTTAAATTAAAAGCAACGTATGTTTAGAATTCTCGATGCTGTGTTAAGTGGTGGCATATATTTTTGAATTTATCATATCAACGTTCAGTTTTCTTAGTAAGATGGCTTTCAAAATGTTTTTTCTCTTTTCATTTATGAAGGTTTATGTGTTAACTTTATTTATTAAACATCCTGTTTTTCGCACTTACGTCACATAAAATTTAATTCAACAGCAAAGTCACAAAATATTCAAAAATATTATATCTTTAGAATTTCCGACAGACAGTATCGTCCGCTGAAGATAAAAATGTTTCATTGCATCCAGTGTTGCCCCCCGATCCCTTTCAATTGGTAATAAAAATTTTATTAAAATTTTATAAAATATGAAATATAAAAATCAAAATTAAAAATTCGGGCTTCCAAGCGCATATGTTCGGTTGGAGAACTACGTTATTCAAAATTTAATGGTTCTACGTACCGTTGTTTTTTTCACAATGCGAGAAACATGCATACATTCCATCAAAGATAATTTTTTGTTTTCCCAAATAAGAAAATCCAAATAACTTCAGAACACTACTTGATATGAAATTTAATGTACGTACCATATTTCTCAAATCTGTATCACTGCAGTAAATGCAACTTGACACACTTATATCGAAAGAAAATAACTATTAAGCTGTATTGGACAAACATCATCTATTAACCGTGAATCAAAACATGGAAATATGAAGTGGATGAACACCATTTTAAGTAGGCAATTGGAAAGCTTAATTTATAATTCAAACAACAAAAATCAGCGCTATATTTGCAAATTTTCACATGACTAGTTTCGATGGTTTTACCGAACCATCATCTTCAGCTGCAAAAAGCGCAAATGAACGTTGGTGTTGGTGTATTTAATTATGGCAAAGCACACTAGGGCTATCTGCCTAAGGGGAGGGATGCCTTCGTGGAGGACTTTCTAAGGGAAACTGGCTCGTTACACGTTACACATGGGGAAAACCACGAAAACACCCATGCAGCCAGCCCGTTCGCGGGATTCGAACCTCAGACCGAACTACCAATGTTCAGTGACTTTACCGCTCGGCCGCTGGTGGACCTCGCAAATGAACGAGATACGATACAGTGATTAGATAAGATAATAATGGCTGGACAAGAGTTAAGCTACTGGCTCCATCTATTCATGAAACGAGAACTAAAACATATTTTCTTTTAAAGGCTAAAGGGAAAGATGGATTGGAATTAGGGTCGTTAACTAGAACAGAAAGATTTTTTTGAATGTGAAACGCCTCTAGAAAATCTAATTTTCTAGACATCTTCGATTGGTGAATTAGATTTTCTAGAGACGTTTCACATTCAAAAAAATCTTTCTGTTCAAGTTAACGATCTTAATTCCAATCCGACTTTGCCTTCAGTCTTTAAGGAAATTATGCTTTAGTTCTCGTTTCATCAATAGATGGGGACAGTAGCTTAACTCTTGTCCAGCCGTTCTTATCTTATCTAACCACTATATCGAATCTCGTTCATTTGTATCAGGAAAGGGATGCATATGATTTGCAGTACACGAAACTTCTCTATAAGACCAAGGGATAAAGCTGAACTCTGTTTAATTAAAAAATCAAATTGATGTATTCCTATTTAATATATTAATGAGCTATATTAAATTACGTAATATTTTTTTAATAAAAAATAATGATAGTCCAACGCAGTCGTCTAACTTGCAAACAGGCTACAAATTTGACAGAAACAAACAAAATAAGTGTCGAACATCAAAACTCTATAAATGCAGCATTTACAGAATTAGAAAAGTAAAGAATAATTGCTATTCATTAAAAATATCAGCTGAAGAGAGCCAAATAAGGTTAACAAATGGCAATCATCTACGACATTTTAAAATTAGACTAACATAATCACAATTTAACACAGAAATTCTAATTGAATAAATTTTAAATTCCCAAAATTAATGAAGTGCTGAGAGTTAAAGCGTTCACTGACTTAACAAGAGAAGCATTCGCTTTCGCTCTTTACCGTTACTATGAACACTTACCCGTATTAACATTTGTTAAGTCTACAATTCCAGGAAACAAATCATCAACAACTGTATTCGGAATTAAAGTTGAACGGCAATGGTTAAAACTGCGTTATCAAAGGAACAGAACAATGGTGCTGTTAAAATTCCCCTTCTTTGTGGGGAAGTATGCATTGTTATCGAAAGCGGAAAAGCTATGCATTGTCTCTCTTTTCGACATGGCCACCGGAAGCACTGAAGAGCCGTTTTGGTTAATAATTGCCGTGGAGAGCATCCAACAGCTTGTTGTTCAAACGAGGGGAAATGTATTGCGGATGCATTTCATGCTGGTTGCATTTAAATACTGCTGTTGGTGGATTATCCTTACATGAGACTATCACACCAGATCGTTTCATGGTCACTTAGCTAAAGCTGCTGGCAGAAGGAAAGTTCGATGTTCAAGGAAGACTTATGGATTTAACGAGCCCCAAACTTTAATGCTGAAAGATTGATTTACTCATGAAGACGAAAATTTGAGAAATGTATCTAATCAACTGTACTAATTAACTAATAATGCGGAAGTTGGAAGATAATTTTTATAAATATATCGCTGAAATCGATTACTAGTTTTCTTGAAGAAAGTCTTGTCCCCTTTTTTGATTCCAGAAATAACGTTAGAGTAATTTTTCTTGATGCAATTATCTATTAATATATTCTGCCCCCCCTAGAGGCTACGTATTCAGCTGATGCATATACAAACACTGATTGAACCTTAGAATTCGTGATTATAGTGTCTATGCCAAGTGATACTCTTTGAGAAACATCTATTTGAAAGTATTCTCGAGAGACCAGTTGTAGTCTAAGGGAAAGGTAAAACTTACCATTTCCATTATTTAGCGTGTGTTTGATAAAAATTAAGACCGAGCTGGGCATAGGCCGATTAAGAGATGGTGAAGCCTTAGGCACACAGCAATTTTTTAGCCTCTGGAATTCCTCTGTGGGAGCAAAAAACAAAATCTTACATTTTGAAAAAAAAATTGCAATTATAATTAAATGTAAACGGTACATATTTTTTTCCCAAACTGGAAGTTTTGTTAAATAAAAAATCTTACTTTTCAGTTTTTAATAGCTGAAAATCTGATGTTAGTAAGGCACTTCTAATTCCTTATTTGACTATTGTATGTTATAGCATTATGGACTGAAATAATTATTTAATTTAATTTAATTTTTGTTTGTAGCGAAGATCAGAGTTTTTAATTAGTATAATCTGCAAAGAAGGGGAGAAACGAAATTTATGAGAATAAACTTCTGAGATTTTAAAAAGGAAATTTAATCAGGGTAATTTATATAGTGCAAAATTTATGTAGTCCAATGTTTACTTCTTCGGTCCACCTATTAGGTCGTCCGTAATAAAGAAACTACCGCTTCCGGCCTTAGTAGAGGCCAACGCCTATAAACGGCTAGAGGCCGCCTTTGGAAAAAATATTACGTACTTTAATAACTTCAAAAGATTTAATTTTTCAAATTATGCTAATTGAACCAAAATAAATCGAAACTTGCATTTGTTTCCCGAGATAGCCCAAATCTAAAATTCCATGAAAATGTGGTACCGAAAGCTAATGTAAGTTATAAAGAATTTAAAATAAATTCAGCTAAAAACACTTTAGATCAAAAACAAAATTTTTTTTTCAGTGGTTGGCAGTAAAATACATTTTATATTTATAAGTAAATAAAAAAAATTATGAATCTTAATACAGTAATGGAAGAGGAAATAGAAGTAAAATATATACTTCAACATGAATATACAATATATAACTTTACTTTATTTCTCATCTCTTTTGGACAAAATATCAGAATGATACTAATAACTCTTTATTTGTTCCCCCACACAATTTTCTCACTTTTTTTCCAAATAGTGCTTTCGATATTTTACAGCAGTTTTAGCTCATAATAAACTTGGCTGCCAGTAAATGAACCTATTTAATGGGGCTTTCATGACGAATTGTTTGAAGTTTAATACAAGACTCTCATTTTAAGTGTTGATGCAGCTTTTGAGTTTTTATTTATTTATTTATTTATTTCTCATATATTTTTTTTTACATTGAAAAAAACTTTTATTTGCCTTTCAGTATTCAAATACTTCTTCTTCTCATCTTTTTAGCTTAAATGTAATTTGAAGTAAATACAGGTTATATTTAAACTATTTGGAGATTTTCTTCGGCGTTAAATGAAGATCTGGCATATTCATTTATAAAGACATTTCACAAAACTTTTACACTAAATATATCTTGAGAATTAATTGCAGACCTAAACTCCTGAACTCTTTAATTTCATATATAAGAGATGGAGAATACACGAGGTTGGAACATATGATGCAAAGTAAAGTGCATTTTGTTATGAAATTATTGGATGTTGGTAATGCATTTATATGTGTAATTTATCACCCAAACTTTACTACATTTTCATATGAACACCGCACTGTATATGGCATTCTCTTCGCGCAGATATGAACGGCATAACTAATGAAATTATGCAATGAGATGTAATTTACGACTATCGTTAAAACCCATCGATATGTTTTTTTAAATACATTGCAATATATAAGTTGTACATAACTGAAATTTCATTTTTGAATTTGAAGATACTCCATATTTGTAATTTATTAGAATTTTAAATTCATCTGGTAGTAATCCCCATATCTTAACGATTTGAATTAATCTTTAACATAACATATGGGAAGGTAAATGAACGCGATAAGAAACCGATTTGCAGCTGTTGTTTCATGAAATACTGCTTGCTGGTATTATCAGTCAGTTTCATGGATGTGAATTCAGAATTAGTTGGAAAAAGTAATAGAAATACCTAGGAGCATCAGATTGTTAAGAAGTATGAGAATATCTTTACTAAGTTTTGTACTCATGTTCATTGCGATGCAAACAGTAAGTGTTTTGAACCACATTCAAAGAAATTAAAACAGTATTTTATGCATTTTTATGTTTTAAATTTTATGCCTATTTTAGGTGTTTTTTGTTTGTTTGTTCCACTTTAATTGATGTAGTTTTTATTGGGATCAAAATCTTTATTTTCTGGATAATCAAAACGATAATCAAAATATTTGCAAAGATTAATTATTTTTCCTTGATTTATTTTTACAGTTTAAAAACATGCTTTAAAATATTTTAGCTAAATTCAAGTTCTTTAATTAATAAATTAATTAAAAAGCAGTTTTCATAAGTTAAAGTCTTCCTGGTTCTACGAGGATGAGTTAGAAATTATTTGTTAAGTGGGACAATTCATATTTTGCATTAAATGCTTAACTTTTCCAGACAGAGGATCATGCGAAAGTCAGGCATTAGATCAGCTGTATTAATCTCTATATATTATATCATATTTAATTTTATAATGGTTCGAGAATAAGCCATAGAAAATTTCTATCCTTCTCGCAGAATAACTATTGAAAGAGAATAATCGGCAGCTTTAATTAGTTTAAACATTCCTCTCACACGAAATATATTTTACCTAAATAAGGAATAAACTTGAGATGTGTTTTAAAGCGTTTCACACAATTTCAGAAGGTAATGGCTACGCATTAATTGCTAAGACGCACTGAATTTAATACAAAATTTACATTTAACGGCAATGAATAGTTTATATGTGTTTATGAACCGCAATATTCTGCATGCCATTTCGTGAGTTGTTTTTATTCAGAGAGATGAAAATTTTTTTGAAGTTTTAAATCACATATATGCTGTGGCTAAGAAATTTAATAGAAATTCCTATACTTCTCTTTCAGCTTTTTGGTAAAACTCTAAAACCTATTAAGAAAAGTAACAAAAATTTAAGCACATATCTCATCACATACTTAAAGGAACATGCCAAAGTTTGCGAATATAGGTTGTAAAGGAAGTCAGAAGTGTATTGATAAATAAGCACTATTTATAGCACCTATTGACGCTGAAGATTAAAACGTACGTACATAAGGGCTCAAGAGCGGCCCAAGTGGCAAAGTCGCAGAACACTAGTAGTTCGATACGGGTCCGAATCTCGACGGACAGGATGGCTGCATGGCCGCTTTCGTAGTTTTCCTTATGCAGAACGGGGATACGAATCAATTTTACTTAAAATGTCTTCCATGAAGGCATTCCCCCGCTTAGGCAGATAATCCTCGAATCTTTTGCTGTAATCATTCAAACCAGTATTTAGGAAGAAAGAAATAACTTTAAGACATTTTTGTTGTTGTGGTTTATATGACTTGTCTAAATTAATGAAAAGAAGTCCATGAAATTTATCATGGGAAGGAGCGCAAGATTACATGTGTCGGTTGCACTGGCCTTGAGCACCATATAGGCGGCAGTCGACTATGTCAGGCTCCCCCCCAATTTTTACGAACAGCACCCAGGGGATGGATCCGTGAGCCTTCAACTCTTTTTCCTCTACCACCAAACCACTCGAGATGACTTTCGGTTCGCCGTGTATTTTGAGAACACCATGCCGCATAGACGCTATGCATTTACATACATCCATGTCTTCTGTGGGACTCAAAGCCGAACCCAACGAAAGATTCAGAAGCCAAGCTTTCTAACCCACTTGGTCTAACGATTGAGCGGTTTATAGATATTGAAGCCATTTATAGGATGAAATATTCTTTCATATACTATATAATGATTAAATGCAGCTCAAGTATTTATACATTATTATTATTGTTAAGTGCACATAGTTAATGGAATAACCTTAATTTCGAGAAAATATAATAATGATATTTTACCATACAAAACTGTGTTTTACTTTGAACCAGAATTTCGAAATATCATCTGGTGAGACTTAAAATGATCGGTTCTCAGAAAATATATATAAAGCGGGAAATATTCAGGTTAGGTTAAGCACACCAGAAATACAACAAAACAGTGGTGTTTAATGACTTGCCCCATTGTTGGATGTCTTAGTATGAATAGATAAAAAACGAAAAGTCATACCTTTTTATTGTCAGTACCAATCAAATAAGTAGTATAGTCCAAATAGAAATGAAAGAAATTTTCTATTGCCAAAATGAGGGCAGAGTATCCTAAAAATAATCTTACTGCTCATCTTTGTCTTGTTCCTGTGATGCAAATTCATTTTTCATGTGACAGTCACTATGATGAGTGTATAATACAAACGAAGAACAGTGAAAATGATGTAAAACAGAAACGTCCTTTAAAGTAGCTTGAAAAATCACATTTGAGAATCACAGATAATTGTAGTTTGCGTAAAAATGATATATTACACAAATTACACACTGAACATTTAAATTTTATTCCAACATATAAAGCTAACTAATAAGTAATGAAATAAGAGCGAACAGTTTGATTGAAAGAATAGATCGGAAAATTTGTGAAATTCTGAGCATGTGTTTCCGGTAGAAATGCTTAAGGGATAGCATTCTGAAGAAGTTCCCATTAGAGAAGTCCTTTCTAAAGGAAATTAGCTTATAATAGCATTGCAAATGAAGAAAACACGAAAAATGTCAATGCATCATTCTGGATCGCCAAAATTGGAACCCAGATTAGAACTACCAATATCCAATCGTCTTAACTACATGGACACTACTAGAGTAAAGACACTGAAGTAAAGCTATACAAACGTACACCAAATATTTTTTAAAACTTATTATATGCTCTGCCCTTAGGTAATACATGGAGAGTAAGGGATTTCCCGTAGAGGAAACTGGCTCGTACCCGTGCCACACACGAGCAAAAACACGAAAATGTTTATGCAGCCAGCCCTTTCGCGGGGACTCGAACCCTGGATTGAGCTACCAGTGTTTAACGGCTTTTACCGCTTGGTCCCTGGTAGGCCTGGTACTGTCAGAAATTCTGGTATTCAAAATTTAATATTTGTTATTTTTCCCTGCCATCGAGACGTAACCATCCCATAATTTTTACTGATTACTCTTGCTGAATTTTTAAAATCAGCTGTATATATTTTTTTATATAAATTTAATGTTCTAAGTTTGAGAACCTTTGTTTTCACATATTTCGCCTATTTGTAAATCCCATATGAATACTCGCTCTATAATTACTTAAAGATCTTACTTAATTTTTATATGCAGTATTTTTCATTCCAATGCAAATTATATTAATTGAATTAAAATCAATACATGTACATGAAAACATCCTATTTTAACATATACATAAATAGAATACTTTTTAGACCAAGCAATTACGATAGGTTTAAAAATTAAAGACCGCCCAAACATTGTAATTTCATTTAAAAATTCCACGCCACGACCGCAACAAAACGCGCATACGTGGACAATACTTTTAAAAAATCAGCACCATTTTAAGGCAACACGTTGAAATCTTTCACACAAAGAAGTATTTTAATTTTCTTCACAGACTGGGATATCATCCTGCTGATTATTAAACACTAGACCCTCGTTACCTGTAACAAGGTAGAAGGGTCAACTTCTCGGAACCTAAATATACTATAATTTTCTATTATAATTAGTTTAATAATTAACCTTAAAAATTTAATATACAGAATATGAATTCATATATTTAAAACAAGCTGCATCAGCATATAAAATAGCAATATCAAACGATAAGTGAAAAATTGTTTTGATATGGTTCCGTCATACAGTGACGCCACCTGTTTAAGGAGCATTGCTTTCGATAAAATGACGAATACTGCTAAACAAAAGTTTTTCTTGAGTTTGACAGCAAACATGTTTTTATATGAACAAAACTTGTACAATTCGTAATTAGGAAAATATTGGCGTAATAGTAGATTATTACTAGACTGAGTGCGAACATCGACTAATATAAATTTTTACTTAAAAGAAAGTCGTGGGATTGGATATGATGAAGGTATGAGAAGCGTCGGTAAGCTTATTAACAGTTTAAATGGTTTCCAGTTATTCGAAAAATTTTAAAGGAAAACAGAAAAAAATATTTTTTATATGTTTGAAATTGCATTTTATTGCATAATAACAGTACGAAAGAAAAGGAACTGAGAGCTTCAATTTGACATAGAACAAATTCTGCATGAAGGTACACTATCAGATTATAAAAGCCGTGGATGTCCTTCCCATATTGATGTACCGAGTAGGTTGGGAACATTTTGCAGAAAATGTTCTTGAAACTAAACTAAAAAATGAAAATACACTAAAAGGTGCAATGCGTGCTATAAAAGGCAGAATGCCCCCTGAACCTGGCAAAATTAAATCATACCACAAAAAGTTAAAAGAAAGATTCAATCAGGAAATTTTATGCTGAGAATTTTTTATTAGACTACTGGCACGTAACATTTGCAGCAAGTGTTTCCCCAAAGCGAAGTGACAACGGATTTTATTTTTCATGGTTATCACTTTTTCATAGTGAAAAAAAGAACGCTTCTCTTCGAGTTGTTAATAGCGTTTAATTTAGAAATTAATTTATAGTAATTTAATTAAAATAAAAATTACAATAAAAAGGAAAATAACACTAATCTTTTTGAAAATATATGTAAATTGTAAATTACAAAAACTTGAATATAGTTTCGTGTCATACTTTGTTGCCTTAAAATTGATACTTCAAGATCGTAACGCCCCTAACTTCTCACTTGCGATTGAAATGTGTGTTTTCCCGCACGGAGAAAACACACAGAGAAAATAAGAAGATTTTAGCAATTTAGAGGATTTTACCATTTTCCTGAGAAGCCATTACCACGGCTTCGAAGCAGCTAAAAGAGAGAATAATAAATTTCCAGAAATACTACTAATAAATTTCCAGAAAATGAAGAAAAGGCTTTTCTGTTATTAACAGGATCTAAATTATTTTGTTCAGCTAAAGCTTATAGGTTTTAAGTTATTAGTACATTATGAATTAGAAGAAAATTTAAATGCTTCGGAAAAAGATAAATAAACTAAGTTTTATCATTAAATTTTAAACAGTGGTTTTAAAATTTGAATATAACGTTAGTTATATTCAAATAAATAATGCTAGTTATCTAGGAAATCAAAAATGGTTTAAATTAGTCACATTATTTAAACTCGGGGTTAGACTATCCGTTCTATATTCCTTATGCATTTCAAGTTAAACTATTTAATCCAGTATGCATGCAGATGCATATCAGTTAGGCTTAAATTACCAAGTGAAAATTTTAAAAAATCTCATTTCTAGACGTAAGAGAAACATACCAAAGTTAAACAAAAACGATCTTCTGTTTATAGTATATTTTAACCAAGACTCAGGTTTCAAGGGCAAAAGGCGTAAGTCTCTCATCATCAGGAGAAAAAGACACTGCACAGAAGGAAGCTGTATGTATACCAAAAGCCAAACAGTAAAAAGAACAGGGAAGTGTCACCATTTATCTACAGAAATATTAAGAAAACGTGAAAAATTAAGTTTATAGCATTTTAAACAGTTAGTAGCATTATTCTCCTGATGATGAGGGACCAGCATCTATTGCCCTCGAAGTCGATAGAGTCTTGGTTAAAATATACGACAATCAGAGACTTGTTGCTTTGCCTTAATCTTACGAATATGTTTAAGAATTTCTTTCTAATCAATTTAAGTTAAACTGAGTGGGCAGAGATAATTATAGTAGACATAATTTAATGCAAAACACAATTGAAAGTTGCGCAAGAATATGTCAGTAAAATTTCTATAATACTCCTATGTTCAAATAGTTCGCAGTTGTAAGGCCATACTATTTGAAATGCCAAAATTACTACCTAGTAACCTTTGAAGTAACATCTATTAGACCACACATATTTGCTTCAGCACTTCTGACATTCCTGAAAACGCTGGTAGAAGGACATGTTTTATATATCTCCCTCTGTATATCATTTGGGATGAATTGAATGTTTCGAAAATATATTCAGCGGAATTGAGCGAATATTTCTGCGAACCGTAGAACGACCTCGATAAGAGAGAATAAGGTGGATGAGGTGTGACAAAAACATCTTTCTGATCAAAGAAATTGAAACTTCCTTGCTGAAAAAGCGACATCCTGCAGAAATATTTAAAGATGCTTTAATTCCGCTGGCACTATAGCACAAATTATGTTGTACGACGTAATATTATGTCGTACATTTCTTCTATAGAGAAAAGGCTAACGCTCTCTGACAGCCAAATTATATTACAGATAGTTTTCCTCGGAATACATGACTTTTCCTTGAACCTTTTGAACGGAAAAGCATAACCGAATTGAGATTAATATCTACAAAACTTACATTTTTGCTAAACTACCAGTCAGAAACTTTTTATTAATAGATAACTTGTTTAGCTTAAAAAAAAAAGTTAAAAATATAAGTAATAATGGAAAAGAAACTTTACTTTCTTTTGCTGGTGCTCGCAAAGCAGTTTGCACAGAAGCTGTGTCAAACAGAAGATGACTGTGACTGGGATCAATGCTGCATTGATGCCCAAACAAGAATACCTGGATTTAATGGAATATGTAGGAATCCGACTCAGAAAGGTATTTCCAATTAAGTTAAATGATTATAGCAAAGTTTATTCAAAAATATGTTGCATAAAATAATTTCATTTCAATGCTTGTAAAAAAAGGTTTATATTTCCTACGTAAAACGGCTGGTCGATTCTTGTCAAAAGCTATGTAAAACCTTTAATCTATTTCCTATAAATGAAGTTATGATGCAAAAAGTTAGTATAGTAAAATTTAGTAACGGAAATCTGGTAGTCAATTGCATATGCTAGCTACTAAATAAAATTTTAATTTCCTTTATTTAGATTAAATTAAAGAAAATAATGACGCTAATAAACCAAATTCTGATTGCCTATCAAATAAAGAGCCGAAAAAATGTTCTACTGCAGATTCTATTATCGTCGGAACTAACTGATGGTTTTTAGTTTCTCGTAGAAGGTATTTATCCCACTTTCCTAGCGTGCCTTCGTGGTGTAGTGGTTCTGCAGGCTGGGCCGGTATTCCAGAGTTCCGTGGTTCGATTCCCGGCGAAGGCGTTCGCTATTTTCCATCTTACCTGTTTCAAAAAAATCCTAATGTCTCTATAGTGTAGCCCGAACTAAAAGGGTGTTGGATGAGGTTTCTCCACACCCAGGATTTGGCGATTGGGTTCCCTGAAAACCCCAGTCGGCCTTTAAAAAAGGGAGTATATAAGATATTTCTCTTACTTTTTTAGCATGCCTTCGTGATGTAGTGGTTCTGCACGCTGGGCCGGTATTCCAGAGATCTGGTTCTATTCCCGGCGAAGGCGTTTGCTATATTTTTCATCTTGCCTGTTTCAAAAAAAAATCCTAATGTCTCTGCACTCGAATAAAAATTTCATTTGAATAAATATAGAGAATTTATAAACCTTTAATAAAGAAAACTTAATTTGGAATTGATTGAAATGAGTTTTTAGTTTTCTAGTACTGTGTAAACAAGATAACTACAAAATAAAATTCTTTAGAGAAATTTTTACTGCACATACTTTTATTTAGGTAAGCAAAAATAAATAAATTTATTTTGTGATGATAGAAGTGAATTGATTTTGAGTATACTTGTATTTAGAGTAAATTGAATATTATGAGATACATCCAGAATTTTATAAGAAAAACTTTAAATGTAAACAGATGTAACTCAATCTTTAAATGTAAACATATGTATTATCAACGTGCTATTAGAAAAAGAAAAGAAAAATTCAGTACTTTTCCTGTTTGCTGATAGGAAACGGATCTAAATACAAATGTATAATTTATGTTATGTCCGTAATGAATCCGATATATTTAGAACTAAAGGATAAGTTGCTATAAAAATTTCTATTTAATAACTTAGGAATCTTAGGGTAGATTTGTGATATCGCTATAATGATGCACAGATGTATAAAAAATGACATATTAAAAAACTACATAATTACCTCTATCCCGCTTGGCCCAAAATAAGTTTTATTTTAAAATTGGATTATACGATCAGAGCTCCTGAATTTTTCATTAATACTAAAATCTGTAAGAGCAGAAGTTTCATAATTTTTGCATACCTTTCTTATGTAGGACTGTTTGTGTTCTCATAGCAAACAGCATGTATACATAGAGATACATAGCAAACGTTTGCATATATAGTATTTAAATATATGCAAAGTAAAATACATAAAATTCTTACTTTGATTTTTAATAGTCCCTAAAGTGATCATTGCCCTATCTAAAAATAGTAAAGTGCTTCTTATAAATCTTCTTGAAGTATGCCATTTTGAAATTCATAGCTATTATATGATTCTTACACAATGCAAATGGGTAATGTACTTGCATAACGGAAAATGTGGAACTGAAAACTTTGAAAATGTGGAACTGAACTGAATATTTCGAAAATATATTCAGAGGAATTGAGCTAATATTTCTGTTAATTGTAGAACGACCTCGATAAGAGAGAATAAGGTGGATGAGGTGTGACAAGAACATCTTTCTGATCAAAGAAATTGGAGCTTCCTTGCTAAAAAAGCGACATCCTGCAGAAATATTTAAAGATGCTTTATTTCCGCTGATACTATAGCACAAATTAATATTAAAAATAGTATTAAAATTGGGAATATGATTTAATATAACATCAGTAATATAATCTTGCCCTTCTCCCTCTTACCTCTGCATAGATAACCTTTTCTTTACTTTCCAACAAAATTAAACAATGTAAAAGTTCTGGGTTGCCATTCTGTCAACAGTAAATATTTATGTTTCAAATTTAATCAGGAAACTCAGCGATCTTATATTAGAAGAGAAGCCGAAGAGAAAAAAACGACTGTCTTAACTTCTCATAATAACAGAAATTATATTAACATACAATCTCCTTCAGTACGAACACCAAATATGACTATGTAAAATTACATGAAAACTCTCAGTTTCTCGCCTGCCAGACCTTTCGGCAATGGCTTGATAGCAAAAACATTTTTCAATTTTCTAACATCTAACAAAAGCGCTGTAAGTATATACAGGTCAGCCGTCTATACAGTACAGCAGGCATTTCAAACTGAGATTTTCAAAAGGGACAAATAACAATCAGTGTACATTAACGCCGGCCTCAAGAAGAAAAAGCCATTTTTATATTTAATGATGCAATGAATGAAAAAATAAGTAAATATAAAAAATTTTACCTAATACTGTAGCTTAAAAAAAGAAAAGAAAAGAAAGAAAACAGAAGGAAAATCAGGAAATCCGGATAGTAGACGGATACCTCTTTTTTCTTTCCAGACAGCTGACATCTTTTTGTTACAGCAAGCTTTTGGTTTCCTGGAGGCATTTTACTCGAGCTAACAATTTTCAGAACATAGATCAGGTTAATTATGTTAATATGGTTGAATATTATTAGGGAATTTTTCCTGTTCATAAAGCAGAACAGCAGTTCACACTGGTACGTACTAACCGAACAGGGAAACCACGTACAAAGCAAATTTGCGCCGTTCTGGGAACCCAAAGGCACGTATTTGTAAAATTCGGGAACACCACTTACTTACTGACTTTTTGTTTCAGAGTTGAGTATCATTAAACTTACGTTAACTCCATCTGTAAATGGGCTGGCACATTATCAAAGTCGGTTAAAAATAGTTTTATAAACAGACTGCCTTAAAATGTCTTTTTTAGACTCCAGGTTGTATACACGTTTCGATATTCGGCGGAATTCTAGCTTTTAATTAATAAATTATAAATACACATTTTACTATTTTCTCAAAGTGGTTCGCAGGAAAATGAGTTAAGGCAGCGAGACTTGCCTATAGTAAAGTAAGGCGAAGTAAATACATTATTAATCTGTGTCAACTTACATTTCTTTTCATTGTAACTTTAAAGGGGATCTGTGCAATCCTGATCCTAATGATGTGACTGGTGAAGGCCGATATCGAATCGCTTGTCCATGTGCTGAAGGCCTTCGTTGTCAGAATGCTCAAAATACAGGTCGAGAAGTAAGTGCATTCATTGTAAATTCGGTAGCTTTTTATACAAAATTGAGATTTAATTTAATGTGATGGATAATTTAAAAAGTGTTATTAATAAACAATTCAAGCTTTTTCTTTCAAAAGTTTTAAAAGAAGTGACAGGAAAGTATAGCATAGTTTAAAATGTTCATGTAATCTTTGATCGACAAGGTTACGAAGGAAAAAAAGGAAGTGATAAAGGAAAATAAATTCGACTTTTGTTTTCAACTTATGATTTAGGAAAGAGCTGTGAAAGTAACAAATATTTAACTCCTTATAACTGGTTAAAGTAAAAAACAAGGTTAAAAGAAAAGAGAGAAAACACTTTTAAAATGAAGTTACTAAGATTTAAAAAAAACATTTTTTTTAGCTCTAAACTTTTATACAATGATGAAATTTAAGAAATGTGGGAAAGACAATAAATGAATTCATTATCAATATTTAAAAAAATGCGCAGAAAATTAAAGCATTTTCTAAAATAGTAAACAATTTTCTTATTTTTTAAAATTATTTTTGCTTATTATTAACATGAGTTTAATTATTCTATTATTATTAATTTTCTCGATGAGTTTCAAATTATGTTAAATTTGTTCTTAACTTTAATCGGAATTAAGCTTAAACTATCTTAAATTTTTCTCGAATCATAATAACAAAAACTTTCAGGTCATAAATTAAGATTGTAAGTATATATTCTTAACTGTTTGATCGATTTTTCATATTTAAATAATCTTAACATTACTTTCATTTAGAATTTATAAGAAAAATTTATTGAAGAGTAATCACTTTTCAGAATCCAGATAAGAACTGTATAGGTATATTTTAATTATCAGTTTAGCGAAACGTTTGACATAGCTTTGGAAGTTAGTCTGCTGCTCGTTACCTTTCAATAATAACAAAAAAAAAAAAAAAAAAAAAAAAAAAAAAAAAAAAAAAATCGGAGTCGAATGATTCTTTTATTAAGTTTAAAAATATACTAATTAACTAAGATCTACTTATGTACTACATTATAAATTATCCAGTTGGTAACCATTGAAATAAAAAATTTTATCTCGTATAACGACGTCAACTATTAGAACCGTGTAATGTTTTAAATGCATCTTTCAGTTTAAGGTATCCGACTTCCTTCGACACCTAAATTTTGGAAAATAGTAGAAATAAATCTGTTATTAGGTGTTATTTAACAGAATACTATTTAAAATGATACAGACGGGTAATAAATATATTACAAAGTATCATTTTTCTTACATTTTGGGTTAAAACATGTTAAATTTCAGGATTACTTGATATATTCTCACAAAAATATTTATCAATATTTTACTTTTATTCCTGTCAGGAAACGAAAAGAAATGGACTAAATTCTAAGTGGTAAAGTAAAATGTCTGTTAAATATACTTGTTTGAGTACATACACTAGCTATTTTTCGAGAAATTTCCCTTTTTTTCATTTGTAACGTATTTATGCTAAGTCACAGTTATTTTATATGCAGAATCTTTACCGTCACTTCTCCCTTTCCGGTTTTCTGCCAGAATGCAAATTTTAGCTCCCGTGTATTTAAGCGAGAATTTGAGAGTGTTTTAACCAAAGCGTGTTCCATCTGCTGAAGGCCACGTTACTAGTTGATATTCTAAGATAGCATTCCTGTCTACGGTGTTGTTTTATTTTTGTAGTTTGTGCTGTCATGCCGGTGTAAATTAGAGCCAACGTGTTCGTTAAATATCTCTGCATAGCCTTTATTTTAGCAGATATCTCTGCATAGCCTAATTTCTACCCAGATATAGTTTAATATGAATTAATTTTGATTTCTAGCCATAAATACTGGCTGAGATTGAAAGCACGAGGAGTGCCTTTTGTTTAGTTTGTTTGAATTCTTAATGAAAGAGTCTTTTACACCGTTATCACGTTTCCATTTGTTTATCTAGACATAGTGATAAGTCGCTTAGATCTAAACAGAGTATTAGTGCATTTTACCATAACAAGTGAAGCTTTACACATTTACAAAATTGTCTGAAAAAATTTCAGATACGCATATAAATCTAAATTTTTAGTCCAGTTAATTTATAATATTTCATAGAACATATGCAAAAAGTTTCAGAAAATTGCTACAATAATATTTTAAGTTAAAACTTATTTTCATAAGAAATATTGAAAAAAAAATCAATTAAAAAAAAGGTTTAATGTAATGCAAACACGAAAGAAGGGAAAGAAAATTCTGCCAGCATGAAAATTAAATGGTAAAACTAATCTTATTTCCGACTATTTAATAACAAATGAAAAGGTTGAAAATCATCTTTTAAAACATCACCAAAAGTATTCAAATGAAAAAAATCTCATTCTAAAGTCATGTAATGTATCTTTAGACATCAGTTTCCGGGTTTTTAAACAGAAACTTCTGGTTTACGGCGTAGAACAAGAACAGCCACAGTTCTGCTTCTAAAGATCAGAGAGACAAAATAAAAGTAGTTTTGAGAAGCTTAATGTATAAGCTTAAAAATGCAGTCATAAAAGTCTTTTGAAAAATGCCATCAAAATTGACATTTGGAACGTAGTCGGGTACCTTAAATATTTGTATGAAGTAATGCTAATTTTATTACGTTATATTTATTTCTCTTCTTGAAAATTAATTAATATATTTGCTTACTCTTTTTTTAATTTTTATTTCATTATTTATTTGAAAGGGGGCAATGCTGGTGCAAATTTTTTAGCATAATTATTAAAATGCAAAATTTCACAAATGATTCCCGACGACCACGTGAATTTTTATTTTATTTTAGCGATAAAATTAATAATATTTTCACCTGCATTATGTTACATAGAAAATGTAAGACAACTTTATTTATTGATAAACAATTATTTACTGATGTATAGAATACGTTTTCTAAGTTTATTACTGACATTAAACTTTATTTGCAAAAATTTGACTATAAAGTATTACGAAACCTATTTCTTTCATCAGATTGATCCTTTACAATTTTCTTTCAATCAGTAATCTTTTATCTTATCAATATTTTGTTTTGCTGTTACGGAGCTCCTAGGTATCAAACACAAAACAGGTGGCCTACTGTTTAATCATTACAAGATTAATTTTGTAAAAATATCATTATTAGCCTAAAGGCGCGATAGCCTAGAAAGGCTATTAATCTCAAAACGACATTTTGTTATGATTCACTGTAAACGCAAATCACTTTTGAAGTTCTTGACACCAAATATTATCCCCCTGTATTATATATAAAGAAACTAATTAATGAAGAATTTCCATTAAATGTATGTATGTTTCTCAAACTGTGAAAAAACGACGGTACATAAAGTCATCAAATTTTGAATAACGTAATCCTCACTCGAACATGAGACCCGAAAATTAAATTTTGAATTTCCACTTGTTTTATTATCCGTTTCACATTTTGTAAAACTTAAATGAATTTCTGATTAACATACTCAACTATTTTAGAGAGAGCAATGGCAATACTGAACGAAAAAGAAAACATTTTTATCTTAAGTGCACGAGACTGTCTATTGGAAATTCTAAAGATACGCTGTTTTTAAATATTTTGTGATAATGCTATTGAATCGAATTTTAAGTGATTTTCGAAGGTGGTGGAGCAAAAAACATGATATTTAATAAATAAAGGTAACACTCAAAACATTAAAAAATGTCCCTTTGGGTGTAATATAAAATTTGAAAGCTTTTGTAATTTTTTTCTTCGTTTTAAAAAAATTAATTAAATTTAAGTTTGTACTTTTAATACCTTTTTTCTTATCTTTTACAGGACAAAGGACGTAGTACTTTTGAATGCCAACCATAAGAAGATTCTACTGGAGTTCCATTGTAAAAGATTAAAATAAAATGCTAAAAAATTACAATAACGATTGTTTTAAAATAAGTAATCTTGAATTACCAGAAAAAGGAAATTAATATTATTGTCTTTTAAATATTAATAATTTATAACAAAAACATTAACTGCTATAAATGTTAATAGTTTCCAAAAACAAATTTACGGTTGTTAAATAAAAAGCTTCAAAACTTACTGGCAGATTTTAGCATGGATGTTTGTAATTATTTATCTCCTCTTCTTGTGAATATAATATCCGTGGCCTATTGTAATGCACTCTAGGCAACAGTCTCGATGATGAGACAGCTAAATCACTGATGTCTTAGGCGAGTTCTGATGAATGCTTATTCAGCAAATGGCTAGCTGTTGGATTTAATTATATGGGAATTTTATGGGAAAATCCATTTTCGTATTTGAACCAGAATGATGCATTAAAGGACGAATTAAAATGTTCCATGGCTTTGCGTCTACTCAGCCGTTTTAAAAAAAAAAATTTAACAAAACTGCCCAGTTAACAAATAATTAGGTAAAGATACCCAGGCTTCTTATCTCACCGCTGCTAGTAAACCTGCACTGTACTACTGCTAGTAAAAATCTTGTTTATAGAGGTGCGGAGGTCCCTTACAGCCATCTTTACGTTATTGCCTCATCTGCAACCATCATAGATTTTTCAGACTTCTTTAGCACATTAAAGATGAAATAGTTCCCAGTCAGAAATCCATATAAAAAGATATTTCTCTCACTTGAAGTGAAGTAGTAATTTTCTATTTCATTTCCCCAGCAATATAAAGAAATGCAGTATCACGCAGTAAGTTGATGACATCTTTACAGTGGTTATAGAAATGTTTCAGTTTGAAATGACATGTTATCAACATGTACCAAGGCCTCATATTATACCTTTGTACAGCTCCCTCAGCACAACAAAGGTATCTCCACTTTGGTTCGTTTTGGACGCGCAACCAATACTTACATGGGAATCGAATGCATACCCTGGATTTAGAATTGGCTGTCAACTTCTGTTCACCACCATACCATGGAGAGAGACCACTTTATTCATCGTACATCAGACTACGGCGCTTCCGATCAAAAATTTTCTACTCAGCTTTGTGCGTAGCTAAAAAAGTAAAGGACACTGCTATATCATTGCATTGTGTTGCTTCAGCATTATTTTGAACCAAATTGGACCCAAAAATTATTTTACTTATAATAAAAAATCTGATGTGTACACCACATGACGTCCTTGTACGGAATATAAAATTATACGCATTTTTTCTTGCATTTCGTTTAAACTTATTGGATTGAATTAAACCTACTTCGCCGACAGAGCATAAACCAGAATAGAATAAATGCATTCTTTAAAATTCACTTTATTTGTTTACCATAGCGACACTCTGGCGCTACGTTCACTTAACAGTATTATATTTCGTTCATATTATAACTCAGAATGAAAAAAATTGATATCATTTAAAGAATTATCTAATCGTTGCCACATGTTCTATTTAAATACTATAATAAAGCTAGAACGAACGTATAAAAGAAATTAAGCAAACAAAACAAAAAAGAAACAGTTTTCACAGACGATTTGGTATTTCTAATTCAATTAATTCACTTCTCACTTCGCGATAAGGCAAAAATACATAAAATCTCCAAATATCTGTATTAAAAATTACGAAGTAAATCTTAAACACTTATTTCCTCGAAAAAATTCCAGACAGGATTAAGCATGATTTAATTCGCAATAATAAATGAAGGCGTTATCTTTGTGAAGCTACGTTTCTCTAGATTGGTAACAAATCCACTACTCTGCTGTTTCAAATGTAAACAAGCAATGGCCGCCATCAAAAAAATTATTAGGCTTAGCGGCACTTAAACAACTTTAAAATTGTTGATAATTCTAAAAATATTGCATACAGATTTACTAAAGGCATAAAAACCTCAACCGAAAGATAAGAACAACATAATTCAATAATTTTAAAGCAAAAAATGCCCAAGTTACAAACATATAAGAGTAAAGAAACTGAGATCACTGAGCCGGGCAACAGAGTGGATATATATATAAATATATTTATATACGTTTGGCGCGGCCGACTGCAACCAAAATACGAGGTGCACATCTACATGTTATAGTAGTCCTATATACAAAATTTCAACGTTCTGAGGCTACTCGTTTTTGAGTTATGCGAGATACGTACGTACATACGTTCGTTCAGACGCCACGAAAAATTCTCTTCAGAATTCATTTTAAAGTAGTTTTATAATTTATTTGGAGGAAAAGAGTCTTTTATTCTGTCCTTACGTACAGATATCACGCAAATACATCGTTAAATTGCTTTCGGAAGTGGTCAGAATGGATATTTTCGTTGAAATATGCTGCCTGAAACTTTTCGCGATTACAATACTTCTTTTTTACTTCGTACAAGGAAGTAAAAAAGAGTATTAATGATACCGAGATGTAAATTTACTTCCTATTTTTGTTACCGGTAATGTAACTGCTGAAAGTAAGTATATTGTATTTACTCTGATATATAAGCATCATATATTATCTGATTTTTATCTTAAACACACTGAATTCTCAATGCCAGTTATATAAACAAAAAAAAATTCACAATTTAAAGGTATTTTACATGCAGTCAATTTAAACAACAAAAGCCGTAAGTGCGATATTTTGAACATATTTCCTGGCGAATTTTGCTGAGATTTACTCATTATTCATGCTCATTATTTAATTATGATTTGGCGTTAATACGCTTAGTGTTTATCAATGAGTAAGGCTTAAATAACGAATAAAAACAATCGTTGCTAGCTCTGAGAAACAAATTCTTCTGTGGTCTATAAATAGTTTAATATATGTAAATGTCATAATATTAGATTATACACTATTTTGAGGGAAAAAAAATACGTGCATTCTTAAAAAAGAGTATCTGTTTTTACATGTATCATAAGAAACCTGTTCTATGTTGTAAATATTTTCCCATCTTTTTCGCGAATGAAAGGCGCGCATTGAAAGTTCGCATCTAAAATGGACCTTACTCTTCATCACATTGATGACTACTCATAAATACAGTGTCACGTGATCGCACATCAACATGCAAGCGGTTATAAAGTGCTTTTTTCGAAGTCTTACGCCCATGCAATGAATGCGCGTGCGCATTTACATCCCAAACGCCCCTCGAAGACGGTGTCTTTTAGAATTACACGCTTTCCAGTCTTTACATCTGTCTGTTGCGGTTTGCTGTTATTACTGAGCAGACTCAAAAGGATGGGGTTGTCGTTGGACGGATTCACAGCTTGGCGACTCTTAATATCGCCAAAACGGCGCCAATGTCTCGATCATTTAAGGATTTAAATTTTTTTACGTTTGATGCGTTTGATTAAATGTAATTCATCAGACATTTGACATTTTTTATTAGGAAATATTAATTTCGCAGTAGGGTGAGCTAAAGTATAGCATAATACTGAGTGATAAAATTATTCGATCGTGATTTGATTGTGAGTTTTTATTGTTTAAAAAATCACTGTAAAAATTGATTTCAACGAAACTATGTATAAAATGTATATGTTAACATTTTTTTGGTATATATAGGTACACACACATATATATATATGTGTGTTTGTGTTTATGTGTGTATATTTACGTCTTTTATTGCGTAGTCGTCAAGTAGAGCGATGTTTGATTATAACTTCATTAAATGCAGAATTAATTATCGTAATTTTAATTAAACTGAGACGAAGTCCAAATACTTTTCTAGAGGTATTTGTAAACTACATTTCTTTCCAAAGACAAACTGTTGGTGTACTTCTAAATACACACTATTGTTCCTAGTTACAATTTTAATTAGCCTATTCATTAACTTAAAAACATTTCTTCATATTTTCATCCTTTTCCATTATTCTTCGCATATTCATATTTTATATATTATCGGCACTTAAAAAAGGCGGACCAATTTTTTTTTTTCTTCTTGCTTTGATTTCTGTGTATCTATACAAAAACAGAAAGGGGAAGAGACTTTTTTTTTCAATTGGAAGGCACTTAGCTGACTTAGGCTTTGCCATTACTAAGACAGGAATTGAAGAAGAACTTAATAGTTGGGCCACCGTTGCTTCCTATGAAGGGGCATGCCTTCTCCAGGTTTCGAACCCGTCCCTTCATTATCGCAGTAGGCTTTCCTAACCACCACACTGGCTGAGCGACAAGGGAAAGAGAATGGAAGAGAGAACAAGAAAGAGATGCAGGGAGGGAAAGATTAGCGGGAGGGAACAAGTCTTTTCTGACTTATAAGAAACTAAGTAGGAGAAAGTTTTAACTGTATAAAAAGTAGGAGTGGGAACCAGTTAAAATTTTAAATCGCGTAATCATAAGATTTTAATCTGTTAAATGATTGATTAACTGGATTTCTTCTCGGAAAAGTGTCTATTAAAATAAGCTAATACATACAAGGATGAAAAATGTATAGTAATATGAAATATTACTAATACAACTATGTTGTTTATAAACACACCAATATAAGGTATGTGCAATATTGCTGTGCTTATAAATCCGCAGCTATAGTAATAAAAAAAAAAGAAAGTTAAAACTGGTGTAAAAGAGATCGAAATTACTGCTTAAAGATTAAATATGTAGAATTAGGTAATTTCGATGTCAGGAAATTGAAGAAATCCGTAAGGCCCTCGCTAGGAGGATTCGATCTCCGGACCTCTCAAATATGCGTCGAGCGTGCTTCTAATTACACCACGAAAGCCTTAGGAAAAGAAAATTTCTTATATAATCCCCCTTTTAAAGGGCAACTGGGGATTAGGGAACCCAATCGCCAGATCCTGTGGTGACGAATTATCATCCGCTGCCTTTCAGTTCGGGCGCCACTTGTACCGTCTTACAGAATTTTTAGGAGCCAGAAAAGGTGAGAAATAGGCATATCACGACATAAAATCATTATATTCTTAATTGAGTAATACTTAAATGCATCTGTATTTATTTAATAAAAAATTCATTTTTGTAATTTTCTCCATTTTATTACGATTTCAAACATTTAAATATATCCACAGATATTTTTCGATTTCCGTACTTGGCTTCGATCAGCAAAACGATAGCTCTTTCACATGCAGTAATGCTGCAGGCTTTAATGACACCCTTTTTTACATGGGCAACTTTTCATGTTTTAGTACCTGAAATTGGTATTTGTAATAAAAACTTAAACGCTTTAAAAATGA